TGATGCAGAAACTACAGAACACAAACCACCAAAAAAGAAAATCAACCTTCTGCTGGTGGTATCTGACTCAGACGATGAAAACGAACATGCGTCAGTCCACACTGCTTTGAATTGTTATCAAGCTGAACCTGTCATCAGCATGGACGCCTGGCCTCTGGAATGGTGGTTGAAGCATCAACAGACATATGACTCTTTAACGCATCTGGCATGTAAATATCTTGCTACAACAGTGCCATGCAAACACCTCTTCTCACCTTCAGGTGACATTGTAAACAAGAAGCAGGCAGCATTAACTTCTGCAAATGTAAACAAACTTGTTTGTCTGAGTGACTGGCTGAACACGAAGTAGGACTGAATGGCTTGAAGGCTCTAAACTTTTACATTATTCTATTTTTGAATGCAGGGTTGTTGTTTTTACATAATTCTACATTTGTAAATTCAACTTTCATGATAAAGAGATTGCACTACAATACTTGTATTAGGTGAATTGAAAAATACTCTCTCTGTTTTTTACAGTACAAATATTTGTAATAAAAATAAATATAAAGTGAGCACTGTAGACTTTATATTCTGTGTTGTAATTGAAATCAATATATTTGAAAATGTAGAAAACATCCAAAAATATTTAAATAAATGGTATTTATTATTGTTGAACAGCGCAATTGCAATTAATTTTTTTAATCGCTTGACAGTCCTAGTTTAGAACTTTCTCAACACCAAAAGAGTTCCTCCCCACTATTTAAAAAAAAGAGAAACTGACAAAAGAAATTAGAAACTTAGTTCCCAGTAACACCTTTACGCCAGTCTTGGCGATGCCTGTTGTGGGCACTCGGAACAGCTCCCACTCTATTCTGTGCAGGCCTTGCCAAGTCCAAACCATCTCAACCTCTGCTCCATCCCCCCAGACACCTCATCTCCATTCCCTCATCCGCTCCGTGAAAGCCATCTGTAACTCTTTCATGACACCTACTCCATCCCAATCCCTGTTCTGTTCCAACCCACCTGCTCCTCCTCTATTTTAGCATCTAACTTGGGGGGATAGCTCAGTGGTTTGAGCATTGGCCTGCTAAACCCAGGGTTGTGAGCTCAATCTTTGAGGGGGCCACTTAGGGATCTAGGGCAAAATCAGTACTTGGTCCTGCTAGTGAAGGCAGGGGGCTGGACTCAGTGACCTTTCAAGGTCCCATCCACTTCTAGGAGATAGGAAATTAAATTAAATGGAGATATCCTAAGACATAAAGAAGACACCCCTTTTACATACAGCACACAAAAGTGTTCTTACACATTGCAAAATGTCAAGTACAGTACTGTGCAGTACAACTAGAAAGGGCAATATTAAGGCACATGGTTAGGAATCAAGAATTCCTATACCCAGCTCTGCCACTGACTTGCTGTGAGACCTCAGAGAAGTCGCTTCACTTTTCCGTGCCTCAGTTTCCCCGTTTGTAAAATAGGGATAAGTCTGAGCTATATCCTGTGGGGGTACTGCAAGTCCACATAAGTACAAAGTATTATTACACAGCATCCTTCAGTCCAAGGGAGTGCTTCACAACACACAGCCCTACTGAAATGCAGCCATCACTGAGTTGGAAGGTAGCAGTCAGCGGGTGCACAGCAGAACAGAGGTAGCAGGGAAAAGTCTGGCCAAGGATCTAGGAACAAACCCCTCCCACATGAAACGTCAGTGGGATCTAATGTCTAAGCACAGCAGATCGGACCTTGGGATTTAAGTTTTTTTCTAAAGGACCCACGTGATGAAAACTGCTGTGTATCTACCTCGGAAGGATGAAGGGCTAAGATAAAACCGATGACCTTCACATCTGAGGTTCGATTAGAGCGTTTGGATGCTTCAAACTTGATACTTAGACCCCTATGCCATCCCTTTGGCTAGAATGTGTTATACATGGTGGAAAATATTAAGGCTGAGATGTTCAAAGCTGTCTAATGGATCTAGATGCTCAATTCCCATTAATTTCAATGTGAACTGACTGAGCATCCAAGTCATTTAGAAGCAGCTTTCAAAATCTCAGCCTTGAAGTTTAAATAAGCCAGGTCAACAACACAGCGAGCCCCCTCCATAGAAACTACAATCACAAAGTGCTCTGTGGAGTATTCATACGCATACAGGCATAAAAAAACTGCAGGGGTGGGGGCCTGAGCAAGGAAGAGGGGAGGGGTTTTTCTGCTGCACTTTTAATGAGATAGAGGTAGTGAGACAGAGACCTATTGAAACTGTCAGAAGCCTTAGATAATGTCAGTCTGTCTCTTGTCTCACAGCTCTCATTCCTTATCTGTTTAATTAGACTGAATGGATGTAGAAATAACAGGGCTGACAGCTTTCATCTCTCACCTCACAGCACAGAAGCCACTGCATCTCCCATCTGATATGCCCTAATGGGAAGATGGAGGTAGATGATCTTGTACCCTCTGCCCTTCATACAGTGGCAACTCCAAAGCAGAAAGAGCAGAAGCCTTTTGCTATGGTAGGATGTTAACTCTTCTTTATCCCCTTTCATGCCAGAGCCAGGTCTGTCTATAACCAAGTTATCAGAGGGTTTTAACTCCACTCCCTCTTTGTCTGATTGCTGTTACCATGCCTACGGCAGGTACAGACTGGATGGCAGCATGCGCTCTAAAGCCTTCTCCAATGTGTGCAGAGGCTAGCTGCGTTACTGATGAGAGATTAATCTACTAGTGAATTATGCGGGTCACCTCAAAGCAGCACCGATTAATCCTTTGGACTGCTCTGCACTATCATCAATTCTATGCATCCTGTCCATGTCTTAGGCTGTCTACACTGGCAATTGAACAACAAAACTTTTGTCTTTCAGAGTTGTTACCTCCCCCCCCCCCCCCCAGAGACAAAAGTTTTGCCGTGACAAGTGCCAGTGTGAAGAGCGTGTTGTCAGCAGGAGCGCTCCTGCCGACAACACAAATGCCGCTCGTTGGGGGTGGAAGTTTTTTGTTGACAGGCGAGCCGACAAACAGCAGCTACACTGCATGACTTTCAGCTGCATGGCTGTGGCAACACAGCCATGTCGCTAAAAGCTGTGTAGTGTAGACAAAACCATAGAAAAACTATTTCAGACACAACTTAGAAGGGGGTTTCATTTTTTATTGGAGATGGTTTTTATAGCCCTCTGCCTGCAAGGCCAGGTCATGACTGAAAATGAGCAGGACTCATTAAAAAAAAAAAAAAGAAAGAAAGAAAATAGCTACTATTTAAAGCACCTCTAGAATTTACCAAAAACATTGATTTTCTATCCACGAGTGTCATGATTTTAAAGCTCTCTGGACCAACCAGGTTTAGAAGGAAATTGTCCATTCAGTTGGAAAGCTGGAAACCCCCCATTTCTAGTGGGGTACAACTTCTGTTAACCTGCAGGGTCACATGATATCTGCCCTTAAACCTGCCATTGGTGCAGGAATGAATATGGCCTGTAATGGGTAGTAGGACTGGATAATTTATGGGAGGGGAGATAGAAATCACACATCTGGGGGAAAGGAGGAAAAAATTTTTGTGACAGACTGATCTGAATTTATAAAACAAGCAGATCTTTGAAACTGCTGAGAGGATGGAATGCTAAAGCTGCCCTGGGAGCAATGAAATAGTGAGCAGCGTGCAGGCAGAGTGGTCAGAGAAGCGTGGTAAATATGATTTATCACAGGGCCCTGTGAACTATCGCCACCACATGTGGTACATAGAACAACATTTTACAGCTGCTGCTCAGGGCTAAACAGGGCAGCTGAGATAATGATATTGCAGAACATTACACTTCTGTGCCTTACCCGCTCACTTCCACCCCTTGCCTCCAGTAGTTTTGCGGAGTGAGCCACCCAAGAAAGCTTCCAGAGATGGCGTTATGTACAGGGTAGCACTCCACTCCCATCCCTTCTAGTTTTTGCATCTCAGTAACAAAACAGATAGGGAGGGGAAATTGCCTTATATTGAGAAGGGTATTATAGGCCACAAATGAAACTAGGTATCTGGTTGGAAGCAGATCTGAGAAGTTGGTAGGTTATCAAGAAAAGAGCTGCTTACTCTTTTCAGAGTCACTGAACACCCTCAACTAACGCCATGTATAGCACAACCTGGTCTAGGGTCTGGGTTTTCTCAGAGGCATTTGAGATTGGCCATTGTTACAGGATGTAAGCTAGACCATTGCTCTGTTCCAGTATGATAATTCATACCAAATCAAGACATCTAAAGCCAGGTATTGGGGATGGGTGTGGAGGTACTCCACAGCAGAAGAGGTTCCCACAGGCATTCTGCATAGGGAATTTTCAGGCAGAAGAAGGCCTTTGATAGGTGGGGGTGGTGCAATTCTCACACGTTTTTTGAGATGCTGCATGCACACCCCTTTTCTGGGAGCACCAGGGGTATGAAGAGTCAGTGCTGTAACCCCCTGCCCCACACAACCCCCTTTGGGGTTTGTTTTGACCTGCACATTGTACTCAAGGAGCACAACCACCGAAATTCTGGCTCACAAGGTGTGTAGCATGTGACCTCTCTTCCACTTTGCATAGCCATGCAGAGGCATTCATAATCTAGCCCTAAACTGGCGTATGTAAACATTCATGTTAGCTTTGGTTTTGATCCTAGTTCCCAATTGGTGAAAAAGAAAAATAATCAATGAATCCATCTCTACTGCCAAATCAAAAAACTGCAACTAAACAACAATCACTATGATGGCATGTGCCAACAGCTCAAAAGAGTCAGGAAAGGAAATTAAAGACTGGCACATAACATGGTGTATAAAAGAATGTAAATCCATAATGCCCTAATAAAGTCAGGACATGGGAAGGTAGTAGTATTTGTGGGGCTGACAGAAGACAGACTTGAAAACTTCCCTGTGATACTGAGCAGCTTTTCTTAAAGAGAAACAGGTGCAGCTCCCATGTAGGTTTGAAGGCCGTAAGAATGAAGCAGGAATTAATACAGGGAAACCGTATGGCCTGTGGTCCGTTGGTCAGACTAGGAAGCAATTCAGAGAGTGTGAAAAATAGTTTTATTGATGTTTTCATAAAATGAGATAAATACATCAATGATTCCAGTATAAGGGACATAAAAAACCTAGTAAGAGGATTATAACAGAGAAAAATATTAAAAAAGGAATCATATGGTTTTAAAACAATGCCTTGTCCTGTGGGGTCTCGATCATTTATGCGGCTTCATCTCACATCAGCGTTTGTGTAATCCACTAGGATCTCAGCAGCCAAATATAGCCAACGTGACTGTAGCATGTTCAGTGCCATCCACATGCCAGTCTGGGAGTGAGATTCTAGCTCATAAAGGCAGAATGGCAGAGTCAAAAAACCCTGTAGCAGAATATATAGCCAGAAAGACTATAGATCAAATGCCCAAAGAGCCACGGATGGGGACCAGCCCTGTGGCTGATGCTCTGCAGTACCATGCAAGGCCAGACCTAGGTTGGAGGGTCCCAAGGGGGATTGGTGTGCTGGCTTATTGGCAAGTGCTCTGAATTGCGACATGGGAGATAGCTATAAGCTATATACTATCCCTCTCTCCCTGGACAGGAACTGTGAGGCAGCATGGAGGAGAGGAGGAAGAGGGGCTGGCATGGAACAGCTTCGAAAGCCTCCCATGCAGTCAACATCAGTAGGAGGAATGTTGGCTGTGGCCTTGAGAAGAGAGGTGTTAGGATGAGGCTGAACCTCATTCCAAGCAAATTCGTGAAGACTATCCCTTCCCTTGTCCCCCACAAGGATTTCTTTGAAGAGATACAAATCCTAATTAGACTGACATTCATCTGTTTCATTCACTGAGGTTGAAGCAACAGCCCAAAATGGCAGCTGTGAGTCTCCCCTAATGCATCCGTCTCCTTTTCTCCCCACCCCAAGCCTGAGAGTTCTGTTGCCCCCAGAAATGCTGTTTGATCACTGAATACAAAGGTAGTTGCACTGGTCCTGCAAGCCTCTAGAGGGTCTTTTCCAGCTAGTCTCCCTTCCAATTCCTCCACTTAACTGGTGCAAGGGGAAAAATCCTCCTTTCCTGTCATCTAGCCTCACAAATCCAGAATACACTGCAGGCACTCCAGATAATATGATCCCCTTGGGAAGTGACAAAACTTGGAGCCTTCCCCACTTCACTAGTTCTCTCTCACCTCTTCTCCCCTACACTCACTGGCCTGGCTATGCATTTCCTGGGGCTCAGAGTGCCTGCCTGAAGATGAGCTCCTTCAGCTGATCCAGCCTGTCATCTCTCAGTGCATCTCGGATGGAGTGGAAGAAGCTGAAGTAGTGCTGAAAGTTATGCATCATGAGCAGGACACCAGCCAACAGCTCATTGGTCACCAGGAGGTGATGGATGTAGGCTCGACTATGGTTCTGACAGCAGTAACAGGTACATCCATGCACCAAGGGACCAAAATCATCCTGGTACCTAAGAAGGTAGAGGGGGTAAAAAGGCAATGGGAAAAAAAATTAATCGCAAGTAGTAGGGAGCACCCATAGTTACCACGTAGCAGCTGTTTGGTGGCCTGAGTCAAAAGGTTTGTGGGTTTTAGTCCAGCTCTTTGGGGTGTGGAGTCTGATGTGGTCCCCTCTGACACTAACTGCATTGTAAAGAGCACTACATGCAGGTTCATGAACTGAGTGCAGTAAAGCATTGTTTTAATGCCAGTTGACAGGCTATGTGAGCGGTGATATTATAGCCACACATGAAATAAGTCATAACAGCTTTGCCTGCATTACTGTATGGTATTATTAAATCAACAAATTACTGCTTTTAAAGTCACACCCCACTGCATCACAACACACTAAAATGAACTGACAGACCAGGGGAACAAGGGAAATAAACACAGTTTCATTCATGGATATAATGTGAGAGCAAACATTAAGGGCCTGACCCAAAGCCCACTGACATCAGTGAGAGTCTTTCCATTGACTTCAATGGCTTTTGATTCAGGCCCTAGTCCAGTGGCTCTCAAACTTTTGTACTGGTGACTCCTTTCACATAACAAGCCTCTGAGTACAACCACCCTTATAAATTAAAAACACTTGTTTATATATTTAACACCATTATAAATGCTGGCGGCAAAGCGGGGTTTGGGGTGGAGGCTGACAGCTTGCGACCCCCGCCACCAATGTAATAACCTCATGACCCCCTGAGAGGTCCCGACCCCCAGTTTGAGAACCCCTGCACTAGCTGAGCAGAATAGTGGATGCAACTGAGTGTGTTCTGAGGGTGACACACCGGTGATATTTTAATCATTTTCCATGGGGGACCTTTATATCCACCTCTGAAACGCAGGATTCTCTGGGATGGTAGATTAGATCATCGCTACGTTCACCATTTCTGTAGTGGTAACATAGCTGATATTATGGCGGGTGGAGGGAAGGAGAGAAGGAATATAGGCCAATATGTTCAGAAGTATGGGTGCCTCCATTTTTGGTGCCCAACCTGAGACACAAAAAAGGTCCTGATTTTCAATGGGTGGGGGCTCAGCCACTAGCTGAAAATCAGCACCCTCCAATGAGTCTCAAGTTGGCCACAACATACTGTGAAAATTACCATAGGATTTTTAGTAACTAAATGGTCAGAACCTTGGTTGTAAGTCATTTGAAAGATGACACATTCAGCAGTGCATTGCCCCCCAGTATCAATCTGGGGCATTTGTCCAATACCAACTCAGAGGGAAGAGGGCCACCCATTTAGTGACCAACATTTCCTGCAACACCCTAACCATTCAGTGGATATTCCATCCAGTGACTGTCCAGGTGTGACCCTGCATGGAGGATGAAATCACAGCTCCAAGTGTGAAGGCTACAGACACTATTTAAAAGCCATCACACACAAACCCACTTACCTTTTCTCCTTCAAAAATATCTCGAACGAAGTTATTTCTGGGTCAGCTTTTGAGGTTTCATTTATGTCTTTTTCAGTGCCATTTTTTCCTGCATCCTGGATCCCATTTTGTTTAATGACTGTAACAAAACAATATCACTTCATCAATAGGCAGAAGCAGACAAGTAAAGGTGAAAAATATTCTGACAAGAGGCATCTCAGCTGCCCCTTGTTACAGACCGAACTTCCATCTCCATTATCTTCCTTTAATTATCATACAACAGTTAAGCCAAATAAATTGTAAGTGATCAAACTCAGATCTAGAAGAGTGAGGTGGGAGGGACTCAGCTAATCTGATAAAAATTCTGAACTGAAATAGCTGCACAGTTTTTTGCTGATCTGAGTTTAATTCCTTTTATTAAAGTCATTAAAAATCCTTGCAGTCTAAATTGCATTTTGTACAGTGTGTGATCACCTGGATTATTGATCTATTTAACTTAACGTAAGAACATAAGAACGGCCATACCGGGTGAGACCAATGGCCCATCTACCCCAGTATCCTGTCTTCCAACAGTGGCCGGTGCTAAATGCTTCAGAGGGAATGAACAGAACAGGGCAATTTATTGAGTGATTCCTCCCCTGTTGTCCAGTCCCTGCTTTTGGCAGTCAGAGGTTTAGAGAACATGAGGTTGTGTCCCTGAACATCTTGGCTAATACTCATTGATGGACCCGTCCGCCAGGTAATTATCTAATTCTTTTTTGAACCCAGTTATGCTTTCGGCCCTCACAACATCCCATGGTGATTAGTTCCACAGATTGACTGTGTGTAGTGTCAAGAAGTACTTCCTTTTTCTTGTTTTAAACCTGATGCCTATTAATTTCATTGGGTGACTCTTGGTTATTGTGTTATGTAAAGTGGCAAATAACACTTCCTTATTCACTTTCTCCACACCATTTATGACTTGATAGACCTCTATCATAACCCCCTCAGTTGTCTCTCTTCTAAGCTGAACAGTACCAGGCTTTTTAATTTCTCCTCATATGGAAGCTGTTACATACCCCTCATCAATTTTGTTGCCCTTCTCTGTGCTTTCTATAATTCTAATATCTTTTTTCAGATGGGATGACCAGAACTCAACACAGTATTCAAGGTGTGGGTGTACACTGGATTTATTTAGCAGCATTATGATCTTTTCTGTCCCTTTCCTAATGTTTCCTAAAATTTGGTTAGCTTTTTGGACTGCCGCTGCACACTGAATTGATATTTTCAGAGAACTATCCACAATGACTCCAAGATCTCTTCCTTGAATTGAAACAGCTAATTTAGACCCCATAATTTTGTATGTATAGTTGGGACTATGTTTTCCAACACGCATTACTTTGCACTTATCAACAATTAATTTCACCTGCCATTTTGCTGCCCAGTCACCCAGTTTTGTGAGATCACTTTGTAACTCTTTGCAGTCCACTTTTGACTTACCTATCTTGAGTAATTTTGTATCGTCTGCAAAATTTACCCCCTTTTCCAGATAATTTACTAATATGTTGAACAGCACTGGTCCCAGTACAGGTTCTTGGGGGACCCTGCTATTTATCTCTCTCCATTGTGAAAGTTGCCCATTTATTCCTGCCCTTTGTTTCCTGTTTTTTGTTCCAAGAGACACCTTCCTTCTTATCCCATGACAGCTTACTTTGCTTAGGAAATTTTGGGGAGGAACCTTGTGAAAGGCTTTCAGAATGTCCAAGTATACTATATAACTAGATCACCTTTGTCCATGTGTGTTGACCCCCTCAAAGAATTCTAATATTGGTGAGGCATGATTTCCCTTTACAAATGCAGTGTTGATTCTTCCCCAACATCTCAGACACACAGATGAGCACGATAACTCTGTTCTTTACCATAGTCTACTATAGTTTCAATCAATTTGCCTGGAACTGAAGTTAGGCTTAATTGCCAAGATCACCTCTGGAGCCTTTTTTAAAAATCAGCATTACATTAGCTATCCACCAGTCTTCTGGTACAGAGGCTGATTTAAACATTTACATACCACAGTTTAGATTTAGATTCTGCTGGAGTTGACAAGGGATTCACGCGCATCCAATCCACTTTTTTGCAGTTGCTGAGTTTGATTATTTTTTTTTTGGCTGAACAATTTAAGTCAGAAAGTCTTGACTGTTGTGGCAGCGATAATGCAGTTATGGGTGAAGGTTCCACACCTGGATTTTCAGCAGCACATAACTTTGACAAATCATTACCTTGGCATCTGAAATTTCTCAGGCTTGCTCTCAAGTCAGAGGAGATGTTTCTGGGAAATTATTACTATGATGTATTATTTGTACTGGGATCGTGCCAACGAGGCCATGTCATGGACCAGTACCCCATTGTGCTAGGCACTGAACAAACACAGAAAAAAAGAGGTTGTCCCTGCGCCCAAAGAACTTACAACCTAAGTATAAGACACGAGACACAAGGATGCAGATGGGTGGAGGAGGGAGCACAAGGAAACAATGAGACAACAAATGTGCTGAAAGTCTATTCAGCTGGTTTGAATTACCCAGGCATGAAAAACAAAACTAGATTCCAGCCATTAAGAGAACTGTTAGATACTTCTTTGTATTAAAACACTTATGTATAGGAAGGATGACAGTCTCTCTGCATTGCTCAGACATTTGGTGGGACCATGTGTAATACCAAGCCTTTACTTACTCATTTAAGCAGATACCTTGTGTTATGGGGATTTGACTAACCTGCATTATTTTGGCAGCATTTATATTAATCAAGGGAGCAAACTGGGTGAAGGCAAGGAAAAAGAACTGCCCAAGAAGACTGGCTTCCCCAACACTGCCCAGCTGGAGAGGGAGAGAAGAGCTACATTACACACTGAATTTGACACTGCCAGATGCCTTCAAATCCCATTGAAATGTATAGGCCCAAGCCTGTCCTGCTGAAAGTAAGGGCAATTCTGCCATAGACTCCAGTGGGCGCAGGCCCAAAGGGAGAACCAGGGACTCAGCACATGACAGAATCAGGCATACAAAGGCTTCTGTTCAATGAACCTCAGAGGATGTATAACCATGTTTTGGTTAACTGGATTTGGATAACCCAGGTCCTAAATTAAGGTCTCAAGTTCTCTTTGCTTAACTTCATCCCAAGTAATTTCTCCCCTGGAACGAGCAGGACTCAGCTGCTTTTCTCTGACTTCAGTGGTTACAATACTTTTTCCCGTGACAAATGAGGTACATGGAAGATGACTGTGGAGCATGAACTATGTTGGGCATGATACCACTGTTACATCATCTTACGATCACAATGGCAAGGCTATCATGAAAATTTACCTGCAGCTTCAGGGTCAGGATTGTAATTGTAGCTGAAGGATAGGGCACAGCCCCGCTCTGTCACCTGGTAGGGAAAAAAGCTCTCAAACACGTCCACTCCTCTTTCGATGCACTCGAGTACCTCGTCTGGCTTGCCAATACCATGAATGAGTCTAAGAGAGAGATAAAACAATATAGGTCTAAAGTGTACTGAATGGAACTTACTGGGTCATTGCAGTCTCTCTCCAAGGAGAGGACACAGGTACATAGGAATTGCCTTAATGGATTAGACCTGAGAGTCAACCAGTCCAGCATCCTGCCTCTCACGGTGACCAGCACCAGATGCTTCAGGAAAGGTATAAGAAACCCCAAGAGTGGAATATACTGGAATGTGTTTCAGCCAGTGACAACAGTAACATGTGAGCCCTACAGTTATTAAACAGGGTGAAAGTTGACACATGGTCTATCACCAATCATGAGACCATGCTTCTCCCACATCCCATCTGTCTGGTATACAGCAGCACATTTGAATTCCCCTTACCTCCCAGTGCCCACTGTTCTGCCTTTGTTTAGAAGGTTACACCAGCCACACATTAACTCAAGAATAACGTCAAAACATTATAAATTGTGCTTAAAGTGATTTGGCTCCATCAACACCCATGTACAATGATTCTATCTCACGATCCATCTCACGCCTTACGTTCTGGGTCAGATACTTTGTTGCACATTCTATGCCCTGGGTAGCAAATGATTACCAGGTATGGGGATTTATTTACTACATGGGACTCCTAACTAGCAAAGCACCATTCCATGTGTTGGAGGATCCTTTTGAAATCCAGCAACAAAGTCACAAATCCACCCCAAGGATAGTGGGTGGAGTTGGATTCCCAAAACCGGAACCCACAAACACATAGGTAACGTGAGTGACTTTACTTGTGTGTAGTCCTCCTTAAGTCAGTGGGACTATTCATGCAAGTAATGTTACTTGTGTTTACAGAATTGGGTCCTCAGAGCAAAGAAAGGAATTCATACTTATTTCACCCTACTGTTCCATCACGGTGCATGGGAGATAATCGACAGCTGATCCTCAGTAGAAGGTATTTGGAAGGCTATGGGAGTAGATTCCAACAGGTGCAAAGGGTATTAGCAGATGATACATCTCAGCGGGGAGGGGGGAAGGGGGTGAGGAGCACATATTTACTTTATAAAGTGTTTGGGATCTGTCTGCATGAAGAGGCACTAATGTGAAAAGTCACTGTGGGAGGGCTCAGTTTTCCTCCCCTTTCCTCCCCTCCCCATGTCCAGCTCAAATGTGCCCAGTTCACACAACGGGATTTCCTTTTAGCTGATTTTCCTAAGAGGCAATTTCCCCCCAACAGCCAGCACTATCAACTCCCCCGGGACTTGACAATCCAGCTGGGCTCTTCCTGCCTCTTACGCCATCAGTGGTAACACAGATACTGCTCCTGTCCTAATTTAGCTGGCAGCTTTGTGGAGGATGGGTGAGGCAGAAGAGAATATAATAGTCGTGCTTTCCCCCAGGTGCACTGGCTGTGCTGACAACAGTAAAAGCTAATGTACGGCCATGAACAGATCACTAGGAAAATACACAGAGATTGAGAAGTGCAGTAATAAGGTGCCATTTTTAGTCTTTTTTCTGACCATAATTATATAAGATCTGTATGAGCACAGAACCTGGATGGGAAAAGCTTACAAGATGATTTTGTTACATTCCCTGCTCCAGATAGGAAGAAAAAGCAATTTAATAGTTAAACAACGAGTACTTATTATACATGTGATCAACTCCCTGACTGCAATGTTTCTTACAGAGGGCAAGGGTATACAACCTTTCTTGCAGATGCTGAGATTTCTAAGAATGCTTTGGTTACAATGAGAAGACAAAACCTTCTAAGCAATAGGTTTAGGCAGCATCTTTCATCCTAAAAGATCCCAAAGGGCTTTAGAGACTATGTACATAGGCTATACTCCTTCACCATAGAAAAGCAGCCATCTTTGGAGTGGGACACAACACCTGTTCTTCACCAACTACACAACACATTTTTAATAGGGGCATGCGTGCATGTGTGTGTGTAAAAAATAGCTTCTACAACTAAATGAAAGAAAGTGGGATGTAAGTACCAAGTGAAATTCAAACAGGACCCCCAGGGCTAACACCTTTACTCTTATAAAGAGCGGTCATGATCACTTGTCTGAAACAGAGAAGTAAACTATTTGATAGATGAGGTGGATGTACTTGTACAGTCACTCAGGTTAGCTGGACTGATAAGACTCTACAGCTCATTGGGGAACCTATTTAAGGTAGCTTGGATGGCAGCAACATGAGCTATGAGAGCTCCAAACTCCAGGTACCTCTGAGCAAGAGATAACTGCAAGGCTAGAACCATGCTCCTGCATTTCCCTTCCCTTTGATCACCATAAACTGAGGGTTCAAGTCTTAGAAGGTGGCCAGGACAAGGGGGGTCCTGAGAGGGAAGCTCAGCTACATGAGGTAGCAGAGCGTGAATCATTCTCCTCATGAAACGTTGGAAAAGACAGCATTCATTGAGTTGATACATGAGCTCCATAAGAGCCACAGAAGAGTATAAACGAGGCATCTGTGTTTACCCCTTCCTCCCAAAAGACTCCAACTGCACCATCTTGGCACTCTTAACATGCACTGGATTGTGTTTTCTGGAGCCTCTGGCATGTTTATAAACATTTTTGGGAATCTTGAATGGGTGTCTATCATTTATAAGATTCATGGTTTTGTTGGTAATGGCTAGAGCCAGGCATAGTTCATGCAGGCAATGTACAAGTGTTCCCCATCCTCATCCACCAATGCTTCTCACTCCTGATCTGCAGCCCCCCTGATATTCCAGTCTTCTGAGAGGAGACAGCTACAGCAAACCGGGTTGGAGTTTTGGCTAGGTGGATAAACATTCACTGCAGATTGCAATGACTGAAAACTGGTTTTAGCTATGTTCCAAGTTAGTCATGATCCACGGAGGCCAAAGGTGAAGGGCTCCCACCCATGATTCTGTCTAGAAATAGGTTTGAACCCAAACTCTGAATCCTCCCCAAAGGAAGAGATCACATCCATACTGTGGGCTGTTCCATATTTCTTGCCCTGTGCCAACTATTCCTTAAAAGTAAAATTGGGGCCATCAAAGTCAGTATTTAAATAGCAAAGGACTCAGCATTTGGCTCACTCAAGAACCTTCAAGAGTATAAATGGATTATTGTGGTAATTACCTGCAGTAGAACACATGAGTTTTGATCTATCCCCCTGTAGCGGGGTGGTAACCCCGCTCCGGTCCAGAGGGGGCTGTGGCTGGAGAAAGCAGCTTTTAGGCTGAGCTGATTGGGGGAAGTGGCTGCAGCTGGGGCCATGCCCCAAACAGACTCAGCTGGCCCTATAAAGGCCAGGGCAGCCAGAAGCTCAGCAGTCTCTCTCTGAGTGCAGAGAGAGAAGGGCCTGGCTGCAGCAAGCTAGAGACCGCGTAGCTGAGTGGAGCAGGGCTGGGGAGTTCCAGCCTGGAAAGCCCCAGGCTGCGGCCTAGGAGAAGGCCAAGGAGTACTGGGGATTGCAGAGGGCAGCCCAGGGCTAGTTCAAGGCAGCAGGTCCAAACCCCCCTTGCCAGTGATGAGTGGCCTATACTGCAGTCTGCCCCAGGGAGCAGGGGCTAGTTGGTGACTGGCAGTGGCCTAGGGCTGAGGCAAGGTGAGGATAGTGGGTGGGGGTTCCCCAGGGAGGGGAGACCCAGACCTGTGGGGTACTGGCAGGGAGCAGCATCCCAGTAATAGGGGCACCGGGTCCTGGGAGGGACACGAGTGCCAGAAGGGGACAGGTGGATCACTGGCCTGCAGAGGGCACTCAAGAGGCTGGTGAGCTAGTTCCCTGGACGACCAGCAGGAGGCGCTGCAGGGGTGAGTCCGAACCTCTACACTCCCCTTAAATCTGACCTTGGTTTATCCTCTGGCAGCTCCACTGTGACAGCAGCCATCAGTTTCAGCTTGGTCTCCTTGGCCATGGCTTGTCCCTGAAAACCATCCAGCAGGAAACCACCCACAGGTCGCTTGGCAGTCTCTTTAGCCGACCTGAGTCTCTCCTCCAACACATCCCCGCCTTCGATCACTCCAACCATCACACTGCCCTGCAGCTCCTGGCCCAGGTGAAAGTTGCAAATGTAAAAGAAGTGCACTTCACCAAACAAAGCTGTTCCAGGAAAGCCCACCACCCCCCAGGAGTTGGTGCGTTGGCACAGAGTCTGGCCACTTGGCACTCTACATTTGCTTCCTGGGCACCGTTGGGTTCAGTGGTAGTTGAACCTTCCTCGGATGTATCAATTAGGACCAAGTAGGACGTAGTGTAGTCTAGGGTTTAGAACAGGGGAATATGAAGGTTCTGTTTCTGATGCTGCCAGCAACTCATTTCATCTCTGGGTCTCATTATCCCCATCTCCCATAAAGAGATAAGACTGACCCACCTTAGCAACCTGCCTTGTGTTTCTTAGGCAAAAGCACTAAAGAAATGCCAAGTATCAATGCAGAACACATTAGGGAGACCCTGCCCCAATGCCTTGCTGCTACCATGGCTGTCACCCACCACTATGCATGTCTCATGGCGTTTCAAGGGATTTCTAGCGTCAGTTCCTGGCAACCTCAGGCTAGGTCTCCTTGCTAGTCCAGGTCCAGCCATGCCCCCCAACACTAGGAACAGGGGAAGTCTCGCAAACCCACTGGAAAAATGTGGGTCCGGCTGGAGACTCTTGCCTGTATGCTCGGGGTTCTACTGATCGCCATATTTGGGGTCGGGAAGGAATTTTCCTCCAGGGTAGATTGGCAGAGGCCCTGGAGGTTTTTTGCCTTCCTCCGCAGCATAGGGCAGGGGTCGCAAGCTGGAGGATTCTCTGCGACTTGAAGTCTTTAAATCACGATCTGGAGACTTCAACAGCTGAGATAAGGGAAATTGGGTGGGTCAGCTTTTGTGGCCTGCATCATGCGGGAGGTCAGACTAGATGACCATAATGGTCCCTTCTGACCTTAAAGTCTAAGAGTCTATGGAAGGGCTAAGAAATAGTACTGACGAGTCCTATTCAGTTCCCCTCAGCTAGGCGGACTGTGGTTGCAACACAGGGCTAAAGCTGGAAAAAATAAAATGGAAAGGCAGGGTAGGTGGGATCTCTGATTTCTGAACAAGGAGAAAATCCTATGCCCTGCTCTACCCAGGAATACAATGTGACTCTAAAGGATAGGAGACCACTGTTCTGTGAAAACAGAAGGAATTAAAAGCCATGGAGGCTGAACTCCTCCTCACTCCTAGAGGTTAGTCCGTCTGGGTCAAGGGTGAGGCACAAGGACAAGGGCAGCATGAGGGAAGTTTGCTAGGCTGCTGCCCATGTTATACCTGATCTGTGGATAGCCTAAAGACTTCCATCTCCACTCCAACCCTAAAATCACGCAGGTCTAACCCCACTGTGCGCACTAGGTGTTCTTTTGCTCACACACTGGGACCTTCACAAGCCTCAGCACACACAGAAAAGCAGCTGCAGTGCTGTTGCCCCTGATACATTTGGACCTTACCGGTGATTTCTCCTGCAGCTGAAGGCACTCATCCAGGAAGGAAAGCGACCGGTCCACAGACTTCTTGGCCCGTTTTCTGGAGGTTTCACCAGAAATAGTGTCTCCGTCAGAGAGGCACTGAAGCCAATCTGGCTGGAGAGCACGCTGCATGCTCATGAACTTGGAAGCTGTCATTTCCATTCGCCCTCCGTATCCCCATACGGACACTGTCTGTCAAACGCAAGCAAAGGGAACACAGGGATGGATGTTAATTGAAAAGGTTAAGAGACCTTTCAGGGGGACAATTGGTCCTGGTAAAATGCCTGCCACTGCAATAACATTCCCTGGACAAACTCTCAAAGGGACACAGCTCAGAAAACCAACCGCCTCTAGCATAAGGCATGAAGGTCCAGTGGTTTGAGCAGGGGACTGGGAATGAGGAGTACTGGGTTCTCTTCCTGATTCTGACACTAACTCCCTGTGAGACCTTTGGCAAGTCACGTCATCTAATGCCTCAGTTTCCCCATCTTTACAATGGGGATGGCAACACTAATCTACCTCCCAGAGATGTTGGGAAACAGGCTTGAGAGCTGAAGTGACTTCCCCAGGGCCATCCAACAAATCAGTAGCACAGCAAGAAAACACCTAGATCTCCTGACTCCCAGCCTGTGCTCTACCCCATGAATAGTTGCCAACTATGGCAAAAGGAATTGCAAGTCATTTTGCAGTGCCTACACAACAGTGAACTTATACATACACACACTCCTGAGGGTAATTCCATCATTTCCCAAGTGGTCAGATGTGAGGCCTTAAATTAAGTTCTCTCACATGTTTTCCCATTCTTCCTAGTATGTCTGTGTGTGTTGGCTTTCATCTTCCATTTTCATTATTCTCATATTATCCCATATAGGCTTTTTATATTAGGAAGATAAAGCACTGGCCCAACACTGTCATTCTTGCATGCAAGCTTCTGAGCAAACAAAGGCGTTTCTCTTCAAGTGCCAGCCTTCTTCAGCGTCACGCATGGGCCTGAACGAGAGTTCAGGAAGGGTTATTGAAGCCATCACCACCATGGGCATAATGTGTTTCATCTCTATCTGTGGATAATGTAATTACACTGTCTGGGCTGCCTGGCAATTGCTCCAGCTGAGTTGTTATTGTTCTTGCTACACTTGTGATCTTAGGTTTTTAATGGACACCCAAGTAATTTAGGGCTTTACATTTAAAAAAAGAGGATTTTACAAAATCTAACATGAATACACGTGTTTTCATGATTTTGTATTACTTTTTTGGTTCACTGAACAGCTTTTCTGTATTTAAATATAAAATTCACTCTTCTGCTGCACTGGAAACCCATAATAATCAGCATTGTGTTAGTGCACAAGACCCACAAAGTGAAACTAATCAGATTTGTTTCACTTCTCAAGCTGATGTGGAAAATGTAAACACAGTTTTGGTTTTTTACCAGAATAGCTATTTTATTTAATAAAACTAAACCATGGGGAAAGAGATGGCCCAGATGACTGGTGAAGGACTACAGAGCCTCACACCAGAGGTTCAAATCCAACCCGGGACATTGATTCTGCAAAGCAGATCTTTATGACTAAAGTCGCAGTAACTTTAAAGAGACTTCATACCAGGGTGGGCATCTGCCAGTGCAGATCCAGTTACAGTATTGGGCCCTAACAGCCTGATCTTATTCCCTTTGAAGTTAAAACTTCCACTGACTTCAATCACAGCAGGATCAAGCCTTAAGTGAGTAGCGACAAGAAGTTGTTGCCATTTGATAACATTGTAGCTTGTGTGAAATGAGTAGGGTGGGATTCAGCCCAGTTCCCAGGCGTCCTCTTCACAAAAATCACCACCACAAAAAGAAAAAATAATTATCCCCTTTTGTTGACACCTTCACCAGATACTTCCAAGACTGAACAGTTCATGAAAAATAAACTCCCTCCCACAGCCCCTCAGAGGTGGCTTCCCTATGGTTGAGGCACGACAGTAAGCAGTAAGGGCAGAGCAAAGTGTGTACAAGGAGCCTGAACTACTGCTGTACATAATCTGTGAATATACACAAAACTTCCTACTCTTGGGCACTCATGTCAGCACCTTCCACTAGCACTAAGTTTCCCTTCATGTGGTCCTCCTGAATGTGTGGCTGTACAAGTGAGACTCAAAATATGATGTGGTCTCCTAGGGCTCCATGTTTATTGCCAATAAAACTGGAGAAAATTTGCTCAATTTACAAGCCACGACTTTTTTAACTGACATATAATCAACTGCACATGAATGAATCCAGTCTGCTCATCCATATTTGTGTGGCCCTACAAAGTCAGCAGACAGGACAAGACACCCAGGAGCAGGTCTGGTGCATAAAAAAGTGCCTCTATCTGACCATACCTCCACTTTAAACCCCAACGGAAGATGGTGGGGAAAATCTGGACATTGTATCCTAACATACACTGGTTCACTTTCCTATAACCTCAAAGAGGGCATTCTGTAGCTGCTAAGCAGGGCACACACGATGGCATCTAGGAGACATAAGTTTTGTGAGGTTTAAGCTGGACTCTCATAAGCTTTTAAACTCACTGTACCTTGTTGTTGTTGTAGCCAGGTGGGCAGGGGGTACCGGGGTCATGGAGAGAGCAGTACAGCACTGACTCTGGCATATCTGGAGGCACAACAGAAAAATAAATGTCAGCTGTAATCTTGTAGACCACTACGGCTATGTTGGCAACTTGCTAAGAGATGGCTATGAATTTACAAAAAGGGTAACCCAGGAATAAATGCACACACCTGACATCTTCGTCAGAGACAGACATGGCTTGTTTGATCTCCATAGCAACAACACATTCAGTTGGACAGCTCTGTCCACATTCTACTAGTTACAGGGAGGGGCGAAGAAAACCACAAGAGTAGCATTATATAACGCCACAAACTATATGTAGCCTTTGGACTGTTTACTTGATTAATGCTACTGCTGCCAAAAGTAAACCAGACGCAATGACAGCTGACTCACTTGTCCGCTGAATGAATGCTCTGGGGACATCTGACACTTGACATCGTCTAGGCTGGGTGACATAAACAGTCTCAGACCTGGAGTTTAAAGGAAGGGCAATATATACACCAAGATAGTAGAATGAGCTGTAGCAATGAGAGATTTATGAACATTTCACAAGACACAGAACAAGCTAGATGCAATGAATGCAATAAAGGTCTCTGTTTTATAGATACTGATAGAGATTTTTCAAAGCCATCTAAGGCAGTAGTTCTCAACCAGGGGTCCGGGGCCCCCTGGGGGGGCACAAGCAGGTTTCAGGTGGTCCTCCAAGCATGGTCAGGGTTAGACTTGCTGGGGCCCAGAAAGCCAAAAGCCCCACTGCATGGGGGTGAAGCCCAGGGCCCTGAGCCCCGTTGCCTGGGGCTGAAGCCAAAGCCTGAGCAATGTAGCCTCGTGGGGGGCCCTGTGGCATGGGGCCCCAGGCAATTGCCCTGCTTGCTACCCCTACCTGCCCTGGCTTTTATATGCAGAAAACCAGTTATTGTGGCGCAGATGGGCCATGGAGTTTTTATAGCATGTTGTGGGGGCCTCAGAAAGAAAAAGGTTGAGAACCCCTGATCTAGGGGATTTGATGCAAAGGCTGGGACTTCCAAAGGAGCCCAAGGAGTTAGGTACCCAAATGCCACTGAAATTCACTGGGAAGTGAATTTCACCTAATGTCCTTAGACTCCTTTGAAAATTCCAACCATAACTTCCACTACAATTAATGAAAATTGTCTAAATCCTCTAACTGGGCATTCTCTGCACTCAGAACTCCCTCCAGTAGGCGTTTTGGGTGCATAAAGAATGCAGAGTCAGGTCTTTACTCACATAAATATATTCCTAATCAACACAGGGGACATGACAAATTGGTGTATATACCATAAAAAAAACTACATCAGGAGAACTCAAAGGTTGCAGTGTTAAGAATTCTAGAACCAGGAAATGCCACAATTAAGGTTTCATGTGCAAACAACTCCTTTAAGGAGTCCTGGGGACCACAGAGGATGACACTGGTTCAGTGCTGCTAGATGACTGTGATGCAGTGGGGAAAGAGGAAGACAGGATGTGTCTGTTTGTCTAAGGTAGATAGGTGGTGCCTTGGTGAAAGGCCCTGGAGCCCTTACTTCTCTTTCCCTGGCTACCTGGGGGGTGAAGGGCACAACTGGTCTGAACTCCTGTGTGTGTTTCTTCCTGAAACAAAAGGAGCATTCCTGTAGCCAGCCAGCCACCCACCATGGAGCAAAGCAAAAAAAGACGGAGAACAAAGGGAGCAAAATAAGGAGAAGTTTGGTGGGATAGGTAAATGTGAGCTCCCCACTGGTCCGAAAGGATGGCAAGATTAGTTTGTCCACATCCTTAAGCTTGCCCTTCAGGGATTTCTGCAGGCTTGTAACATGGTTCCTTCCCCAGACAGCCACCCAAAACAGTTCCTTCAGTTAACAGAACAGATCTGCTCTAGGGGTAGGAATACCCGTCAAGAGATCCTACCACTTTTCTAAGTGAGACTGACTGTTCTGTGCTGCTCTGCACTGCCGAGGCTGAATGAGGGCTTTGTATCAAACTAAACTGATTTTGTTTTGTGGGTGAAATAACCTAGCCCAGATCAGCAGGGACCTGAAAGCTGTTACCTTCTGGGGACTGCGTGAAGAAAGTTGTTCTTTGTATTGTTTCTGGTGGGAGAGGTGTTAAAAAAAAAATCGCCAAAAAAATCATCACAAATGGCACTTATTAACACTCACAGCACAGAGGTCAAGGACTGAAAGGTCCAGGGATACTCAACTCCCTTCTTAACCCAGAGTTGGGTCCCTCCAAGTGAGTGCTGAAGTCCATTGCTGGAGCGTTGTGGGGGAAGCTGTAACTGTGAATAACTTCAGTTTCTATTGTAGTGAGTGTAATAGTTCACAACTGCATTAAATCCACTTTGAATAGAAAAAAAGAGAGCTTCTCACACAACTCACTTGCGATCCACAACAGATTTGCACTCAAGTTTCTAGGGATGGACAGTTTGTAGCAAGCAACATGGAAGTGTAGAGGATGCATTAGATGGGATCAGACTACATCTAAACACACAGACAGAATTTTACCTATAAATTTCCCAATTCCTTCTTTATATTCCTCCAAGACCTCGTGAAGTTCTACCCTGTGTCCAAACATAAAAGAATACACATTAGAAAAAAAAATAATGAGAATGAGCCTGCAGAGAGGACTGTGGATGAGCTAATTCCTCAGTATGTTAGAAGACACACTCCAATCTTTGCAAAAAGAGCCTTGAAGTTTCAGCCACAGAATGGAGTCAGAATGGAGATGGAGGAATGACATAGTCACTACACCAAATCTCACAAGATCTTGTTGCCCCTGTACCTGCAAGATGGAGCTGTCATATAGATAAGATTCAGGCTTCTTCACTAAAGTGTTGTCCAAATTTGGATTAGACTAGATAATGGAAAAGAAACCTAAACCCTGTCTACACTACAACTTCCACCATTAGTACCACAGTGGATCTGCACAAGTGAGGAGTTACAGGTCCCGTTTTTGTCAAGGTACATGCAGCCTAAGAATACAACTTTTAGAATTAGATTAGGGTGATGAGAGGTTTCTCATTAGAGAGTTTTACAAAAAGTCATAAAGAAACAGGAAAAGGCCATTTACACCATCCTGTTTACTTTTCAAAAAAGGATTCCCCTTACATACATCTGCTCTTAGCTCTCACCTACAATAAATGCGCAGCAGCCCATCCATCCTCAAGAAATCCAACCATAAGGTAAAGAGTGTGATGGTCAACATCTTGGCCAACACACCAGGGACTGAATCAGGGACTTCCACTGGTAAAAATCATGAGCGGCTACATCTTGAGCTAAAATGCCAATACTCTCTATCTGGGGCTGTAACAGTCTCACATCATGTGGTCTGAGGTGGAATAGCTGTTTCTCTATAATCTCATTGTCCCGATGAACTTTAATGAGATAAGTCTCAAACCCTTCTGGTGAAGCAAGGAAGTATTGTTTCTTGTTTCCAATGGGGAAACTGAGAACACAAAAGCGGTGTCCCAGCTAGGCTTGATACTCACAGAGTTGAAAGCGTGAGCTGTACAACAGCAGGAACCCCTTTAATTGCCTGCAGTGTATCATGGGCAAGGTGCGGTGGGGATCCTGTTTTGGTATACAGTAGGCAGCCTGGAAGCTCCATGGTTTGAACCCCATTCTTGCCAAGGTTTGTCAGTATCCCAAGACGACACCCACTGACCACTTTGGAGAGACTCAGCTTCATCCTGGTTAACTGTTAGGCAGCGTCCAGGTCCTTTAAAGAAAGAGATTATTTAGGTAGGTCTTGCTCCATCAAGATTTTGGGTTAATATTTGTATCTGTAAAAGCTTAGTAATTGACGGAAATGGAAAAGTAAATTGTTTGTTTCTAAGGCTACTGGGGATTCTAATACACCTGCAATGGATCCATTAGTAGCAGTGGGGGAAGAGGTAGCTCACAAGAGAGGTATTATGGTATGAACTTTCACTCAGGAGACAAGGGTGGATAAAAATCTATGATTTTTTTTTATCGGATTTTTTTTGATAGGTTTTTTCCTCAAAAATAATTTTATCTAAAGATAAAGATATATTATAACTCAAAGATACCTCATCATGTAATAGGGATTATGAATTCTAATTCTATAGCATGAGACAATATATTCATGTAATGTTTAAGAAAAGTGTTGTAAATGAGTTCCAATAGTTCATGGATTAGGGACCCAATCTTACAGGGTTCCAGGGGCTTCTGTATAGATTATTTAGGTTAATATTTCTACCTACCCAATGGGACTCAGTGCTAAGTCTAGAAGACACCATCAGAGATGCTTAGTTTTGCAATTCTCAAACTGTGGGTGTGTGTGTCAAGATAACATGCTTGTTAACAGCAAAAATGTTTTTAAATAAATAAATATAGAGAGGTGAGAAATAACAGACCTCAACCCTATTTGTCCCTCTGCAAATCTGCGTACACAGAGGCAATCCCTTATCTCTCTCTAAAAGGTGCAAAGTTTCAAAAAGTTCAATGAATAGAAGATTGTTGGAGGCAGAATAGATCTGGACAAGGAGAAGTCTGAAGATAAATGTGAGAAGGGAGGGACAGGGAGGAGAAACAAAAGTGAAAATGTTTGAGCAGCATATTCCAGAAGTCTTGAGTTCTTTCTGAGTGTAGCCTTCATTCATTTGAGATCTACCATACCATTCTCTCACTAGAAGGGAAAACCAATAATGGCAGCAGACCATAAAAGAGACCCAGTTTGGGTCTCATCTATCTCTGAGTTGTGAAGAATATGTATTAAGGTTATAACAACCAACAAGAATGCACTTTTATGTAGAAATCCATAATTAAATTGAGTCTTCCTGACTAGTGATTTAAACCATGATTTAAATCAAATCCACCCTGCAGGAGACCTTGATCTGTTCCTAGTTCTGTCGCTGTGTGACCTTGGGTAAGTCACTTCATTTCCCAGTGGTGCCATCTCCTCTCCCACCCTTTGCCTGTCTTGTCTATATAGATGGTAAACTCTTCTGGACAAGAACTGTCCCTCACTGTATTTGTACAGCAGTTAGTGCAATGAGACCCATGTCTTTACTGGGGCCTCTGGGTGCCAATACAAATTACTATTATTAATACTTAGATTAGTCAAGACTAAGGAAGATGATGAGGAACTTAAACCAAGATAGTACAATGGCAGATAAAATTCTGTGTCCATAAATGCAAGGTAATATACATTGGGAATAATAATCTGAACTATTCACAAACATGGTGGTGGGGAGGGGAAGATTCTAAATTAACTGTAAACACCCAGGAAAAAAAATCTGGGCAGTTCAAGGAAAACCTCTGTTCAATACATAGCTGTGGTTTAAAAAGGCAAATAAACTGACTGATAAAGGAATAGGATAACTTGGGCAGAGTTGCTGACTCGCGATTTTTAGGTATCACAATTTGACGTAAAAAGAACAGGAGTACTTGTGGCACCTTAGAGACTAACAAATTTATTTGAGCATAAGCTTTCGTGGGCTACAGCCCACTTCATCGGATGCATAGAATGGAACATATAAGAAGAGTATATATATACATACAGAGAAGATGCCATACCAGCTCTAAGAGGCTAATTAATTAAGATGACCTGTTATCAGCAGGAAAAAAACTTCTGTAGTGATAATCAAGATGGTCAATTACAGACAGTTGACAAGAGGTGTAAGGATAGTTATCATATGGAAAAAGATTCAAGTAGTGTAATGACTCAGTCATTCCCAGTCTCTATTCAAGCCAGAGTTAATGGTATCTAATTTGCAAATCAATTCAAGCTCAGCAGTTTCTCCTTGGAGTCTGTTTTTGAAGTCTTTCTGTTGCAAAATTGCCACTTTCAGGTCTGTTACTGAGTGGCCAGAGAGGCTGAAGTGTTCTTCTACTGGTTTTTGAGTGTTATGATTCCTCATGTCAGATTTGTGTCCGTTTATTCTTTTGCATAGAGACTGTCCAGTTTGGCCAATGTACATGGCAGAGGGGCATTGCTGGCACATGATGGCATATATCACATTAGTAGATGTGCAGGTGGATGAGCCCCTGATGGCATGGCTGATGTGATTAGGTCCAGTGATGTTGTCACTTGAATAGATACGTGGACATAATTGGCATTGGGATTTGCTGCAAGGATAGGTTCCTGGGTTAGTGTTTTTGTTGTGTGGTTGCTGGTGAGTATTTGCTTCAGGTTAGGGGGCTGTCTGTAAGCGAGGACTGGTCTGTCTCCCAAGATCTGTGAGAGTGAGGGATCGTCTTTCAGGATAGGTTGTAAATCTTTGATGATGTGCAATTAATTAGCCTCTTAGAGCTGGTATGGCATCTTCTCTGTATGTATATATATATATATACTCTTCTTATATGTTCCATTCTATGCATCCGATGAAGTGGGCTGTAGCCCACGAAAGCTTATGCTCAAATAAATTTGTTAGTCTCTAAGGTGCCACGAGTACTCCTGTTCTTTTTATGGATACAGACTAACACGGCTGCTACTCTGAAACAATTTGATGTGTACCCCAATATTGATAATAAAAAAACCCTGGAATTATGCAAATCCCTTAGAATCTCAACTTTCATAGAATCATAGAATATCAAGGTTGGAAGGGACCTGAGGAGGTCATCTAGTCCAACCCCCTGCTCAAAGCAAGACCAATCCCCCAGACAGATTTTTACCCCCGTTCCCTAAATGGCCCCCTTAAGGATTGAACTCACAACCCTGGGTTTAGCAGGCCAATGCTCAAACCACTGACCTATCCCTCCCTCTTTAAAACTTTCATTTTAAGAAGTCTGTTTCTAGCCGTCCAGAAAAGAGTTTGAAAATGGGAACCCTGAAGGTTCACAACTCGGAAGGCAGATGGGAACAGAACTCCAGATACATTTAGTGCTCGTGACTTTGAAGCCAGTCTCCTGATGGGGCGGGGGGGGAGACGCAGGAATGGACATTTGAACGCGTGGGGATGACAACGCTGCAGGTGGAGCAGCCCGAGTTTCCGCCAGGCCTTGCCACGCTCTTTCGCTCGCCAGGATCCGAGTCCCCCGCGGCCTTTCGCTACTTTCCTGCTATTTCATTTCACCCCCGGGGGGCGCCGGGCGGGTCTCGGGCCCTGTGCTGGAGGGGAGGGGGGAGTTGCGGAGCGAGCCCGTCCCGCGCTCACCCCACAGCGGCGGCTGCTGTTGCGCGGGCCGGGCCGGGCCCGGCTCCCTGCTTGGGGGCTGGGACCTGGCGGGGACGGGGGGGTCGCAGCCCCGCTCGGGTTAACTGGCCTCGACGGCCCCGTCGTGGTGACCGAGGGCGGCCGGGCCCAATGCGAGTGAGCGGCACCGAGACGGCGGAAGAACAGACCCAGCGCCCGAAGGGGCCGCTCCCTCCCCCCTTTACCTGGCTCGGGCCAGCCGCCTCCGTCGCATAAGCGTCTCTTCCCGGGTCCAATCCGCATCCGAAACGTCATCACTGAGGGACGTAGGAGATCCTTATCGCGAGGACTGGAGTAAAGGTGGCTGCGCCGTTGCCATAGAGAAGCGACCCTCCCGGCGCGGTGCATTCTGGGCCTTGTAGTTCGTGCTGATCCAGGTTTCCGTGCGCCCCGTCCAATGGAGAACTCCGTTTCCCACAAGGCTCCTCTCCTCCCGTGTGGCTGAGGCGGGGTGGGGGTGGGAATGCTGCTTCTGTCCGAGCCTTGGCAATGGCCTTCCCAGCGCCAAGGTCCCAGCTCTATCGCTGGCAGCGTCTCACCACCGCGGCCAGGCCCAAGGTAACGGAGGGGGCGGTGTCACCCCCCCCCCCGTGTCCCCAGCGCCCAATCCCGGAGCCTGCCCGGGGGCTCACGCGGGGGTCACCAGCAAACCCATGGGGCGCCCCCGGTCACCAGCGCCCAATCGTGTTCCACCCTGGGGTCACCAGCGCCCAATCAGGGGGCTCCCTGGGTCACTGTCAGCCCCATGCGGGGCACCCTGGCCAGCGCTGGCCAATCAGGGGGCTCCTCCCCCTGCCACCGGGGTCAGTGCTGCTCAGCAAAGGAATCTCGGGGTCAGGCAACTGGGGCCCCTTGGGGTCCCTGCCCCCGGCCTTCCTGTGGCGGGTCACGCCCCAGGGTCAGTGGAGGCCAAAGGCGGCAGGTGCCCCCTGGGCTCAGCTTTACCCAACTAGGGCATATGGTCAAGCCCAGGCCTTCAGAAATCACGAGACTGGCTTAAAAATCATGAGATTTATTTTAACAGTAACAAATGTGCGTTTATTTTTCTTTGCCGTCGGGTTTCTGAGTGTTTGGGTTCACTGCAGTCATGTTTTCAAGCTTTTCTTGGCCACCATTAGGACTGGAATCCCTCATGTTTTTGAAATGAGAGCAGAGATTCCTGTATAATCACTTGACTCCAGGAGCTGGGGCTTTAAGAAAAACATGAAATATAGTGAGGCATGTGATAACATCTCAGGAGTTGGCAACACTGTCAGCCCCAAACCAATGACATGGTGGATTTTAAAAAACAAGAAGGGCAATTTTTAACTGGCAGTATTATTACTGTTATTGATATTTGAATTATAGAGGCCCTTTCCAACCAAGATCAAAGTCTCATTGTCCTAGATGTTGCGCAGTCCCTGCTGCAAAGTGTTAACAGTGTAAATAGACAATACAGACAAAGGGTGGGATAAAAAGAAATATCTCCATTTTACAGATGGGAAACTGAGGCAAAAATTTACAAATATACTTAATTTTAAGCATGTGAGTAGTGCCAGTGAAGTCCATAGGAAATCTGTGGCAGAGCCTGGATTTGAATCCAGATCTTAAGTCCTCATCCAGTGCTTTAACCACAAGACCGTTTGATTCAGAAATGAATGAGAAACATGGGGAGTTGTTTGAGGATAGGAGTAATATTTCTGGAGAAAGAGCACAGGCTTTTTCATTGTACTCAAGTGACTAGCTCTAGGCCTGGAAACATTAAAATGAGAATTAAAAGTGAGCAAAAAAGCATTTTGAAGTTAACTTTTTGCATCTTATTTCCAGCCAAATTTTGACTCTGATAATGTGGAGCACTGGATCAAGGTAAGGTCATTTGCAAATGAACTTGTGAAACAGAAAAGTAATTGAGTCAGGGAACATGCAGGCTCAGTGGGATGGAAGTGGGACAGAAAGCCTTTCAGTCTTATGTTTACATCCAGTTCAGGTTGACTGTGACAAAAAGTTGGTACCATCTGATAATTGCTTGATGGATTCGAGGGAGTAAATTGATGGGTGTCTGGTTTCCCTATGTCTACAACATGCATCTGCCACCACAGCTGGGATCATCAACATACCAATGACTATAACTTAATTATGTATGAATCAAGTATCTTCAGACATGTCAAATGTAATAAGTCCATGAGGAATGTGAAGTTTCAAAAGAAAGCAAATTTTTGTGGCAGTCCATATTCCCTTTTGTTGTGATCCTGTTAGTACTTGGTTGAACCAGTGAGTACTTGGATAAGATGCATCCAGGAAAAATTAGCTAACTGCAGGATGTGGTTTTCATGATTCAGTAGATGGTACTGTTCATTTAGAGCCCATACTATGCCAATGCCTGGCAAGATGCACAAGGTCTTTATGCTACTGGTGGTGCCTTCTTTTGTGTGAAATGTAAATTTGAGGTCCAGACTACTAGTGATTGTTAAAAAATCCTGTGAAACCGTTTGCAAGACTGGGTGTTAAACTCAAGTATCCTGGCCAAATTCCAGTTTGGTAATTACATTCTGCTTCCCTGCATTTTCCCAGCAGTTAGGCCTGCTTACAGTATTCTGTACATCCTATCTTGCACTGTTATGAAGTGTCGCTGTGGGTTGTCAAACAGCTGCCACATTCCAGGTGACAGCAGTTGCATGCAGGTGACAGCACTTGCATGATAAGAGCTCCCCTTAACATTTTGGCATGGGCTTATAAAACACGGATCTGTCTGCCCCAGCCCTACTTATAACACATCTCTGTTCCCTGTTATCACCCTGCTATGCTAAAAGTCAGCCTGAGAATTTGGGGGAGGGATTTCATGATTGCTTAGGACATGCTTTGTTATAAAAAGCATGTGTGAGTGTGTTTAGGTCCTTCTGCTATAGAAATGACACCCCATTGTGCTTGTTTCCTCAATCCTATTGATTGATTTATGTTTTCAATGCTATCTTCACGAGGTCTAGAAATGCATTATTTTAAAAAACAAAAGCTGAAATTTTCTGCTACCGTTTTAGCTCCTCTAACACAGAAGGGCCTGCAGCCTGGGGTCAGTGGGGGCCTTTGGCCAGCTCAAACCCCAGAGAGTGAAATGTTCCTTAGATACAATCTGTAAAGCCCTTTGTCCTTTTTCAGGGTGAAAGGTGCTATACTGATTCAAGACTAACTATTCATTTTCAGTGATCTGAGCATCAGAAGATTTTATGTAATCCTTCTCCTCCCCCCCATTATTTATCTTAAAAACAACCAAATGGGATGTGCCTAAATCTATCTCTGTCCCAAACAAATCCACCACAGCCTCTGGCCTGAAAACAAACCTCAGAAATTTCCACCCAATGGGGTAACATTTTTGGAAAGTTATAAGCACCTAAGGACAGGATCTGATCACGTAAGCGCTATCTCAGCCTTATCAATAGCATCATGCCCATGAGACTGTAGTAATGCTTTGGGCTCCAGTCCTCTCTCTCTCTATATATATATATATATGGATGAATCTTATTTCATGCAGCTCCCTCTGAAGTCAGTGGTGCTCTGCACACATGCAGGGGTCCACTCCTCCAGAGTATCTTACAGGATCAGGACCTGGAATCTGTAGCGTTTGAAACTGAGTATGCGCAAGTTATAAGAAATGTTTTTCTTCCCTTATTTATTTTAAAGCGAGTGGAACAAGCCTCCGAGTTTGCAGTTTCTGAAGCTTTTTCCCTTAAAAAGTCAGCTTATCCTCAAAGACCACGTGGTCCTGTGGTGGATCTGGAAACAGTAGAGCAGCTGCAGGATCATGATGAGGCTTATGCAGAAGGTGAGTTTGAATAGCACTAGCCCAGAGCTGCTTAAAGGAACCCTATGAAATCCAACTGGGCCAATGGGTAGATTTGTGTATCACCAGTCTTTTTCAAAACCTGAGACCAAATAGAAATATTTCATAATATGGGTTAGAACTTGAGCTTGTTAATCTAGAGCAGAAAGGCCTAATGAAAATCAATGGCTGGAAGCTGAAGTCAGACAATTTCAAATTAGAAATACACATTTTTGACAGTGAGGCTGATTAACCATTGAAACAAACTACCAAGGGAAGTGGTGGATTCTCCCTGAAGTCTTCAAATCAAGACCAGATGCCTTTTTGGAAGATATGCTTTAGTCAAACACATGCTATTGAGATCCATACATGAGTAACGGGCTGAAATTTTGTGTTATACAGGAGGTGGGACTAGATGACTTAAATGGTCTCTTAAAATCTATGAATAATTTTATTTGATCTTTTTCATTCCCATTCTTTTTTTTCTCCAAATAAATAAATGTTCCTTGTGCAATGTTGCATCCCAAACCCTGCAGAACTACAAATCTGAAACTTAAATGTCTATAAGCAAAAGGGAAACTGTCTTCAATTATTTCTGCTGTCCAAAGTGAAGGAAATGCAAAAGCTAAACTGACAGTAAAAAGAGTTGGAAGCAAATTGGATTTTTATAAATATTTATTATTTTGCAGCACCTAAAAATGTGCTAGGCACAGTACTGAACAAATAGAAAGATAAGGTCTCTGAGAGTTCTCATTCTAATAAATTCAGAGTCAGTTCTTTCACTTGCAATAATATGAGGCACTATTAATAGCACAGATGAATAAATCTGTGTACACTCTGATTTCTGTATATAATGTCAAATGTCTCTCACAGATGGAGCAAACTTTCTGCAAGTGTCTAAAATATGAAAGATGCCTTCTTTTTTTCTTCCCCTGCCTTTGTGTGTTTCTTCTTTTTACATATAGTAATCTATTTATGAGTGTTCCAGAACTGCCTGTAAGCCTTTTATCTATGCACCACAATTATAATACATAAGAATATTGATTATCTGCAGTCACCCCACCATGTTAAGAAACATACTGATAAGCAAAGTGTTAAAGCTCATTTACTCCAAATATGAGGAGTCTGCACTCTCTTGTCCAAGAATGACACAGCCTCAATAAGATAAACTGACTTCTGTTTTTCTTATTGAATAAACTTTGTTGTTGTTAAACTGGCCTAATTATAGACTGAAAGTTGGGATAAAAGGACTTGAAAGGGATTAAAAAGCCTGAGTACTTGTGTCTTTTTTGTTTTTTGAACTTTTATAGAGTGTTTAAAGAAGCCTAAAAGAGGAAATTTTTGGTGGTGGTGGTCTTTGTTTTTTTAAAAGGTTGCTTATATTTTTTCTTAGAAATATGTGGAATGCTAAGTTATATCCTCCATCGTTTTTATT